TTGACTATTACATTTTCACAACATAGATACGTAGCACTTCTCTGGTGAAAAAGCAACCTAAGAGCGACTGTTGAGTTAGAGGTCTAGGATACGAGGATTGAGCCGAGTATTATTAGGTTCCACACACGCATCAACATCACAGGCCTCTGCCGTAATATGGTTTTTTTTTTAAAAAAACTTTTCCCCACACTGAGATTTTCTCCTGTATCATGGGTGCATTTACAAACATACAAGTTCACATACATATAACACCCAGACCCGGAACAACAATCAATGGATCACACAAAGAATTGTTCCGTGAGGGAATCAAACCCGCGATACGTCGCGCGGCAGCCAGTTGCCCAGCCATCTCGCCAACAGTGCAATCGTACTTTTCTTCTTCCTGTACACTTCCTTTACACAAACGGGTTTATCACAATCTACACGCTTGATAATCGAGTTGGAGATTGCAGTTTGAAAGATTCACGTTTCTGTCTGTTCATTAGAGATTTCTTTTAAATGTAATATTTATTGTCATTACACCCGTGGAAAGAGAAGAGATGGTGATTAACGTACATATTCTATTTTACTCTGACATCACCACACTTCCCTAACACGGTGTCTGTCACCCCTGCGTGCAGCATCAATAAACTCAAGGGGTAATGTTACTACACAAATTGACAACCATGAAAAATTTTTCCTTATATTCAGTGTAATAGCTGGCATTGTGAATGACGGCTGAAGCCTACTTTCAGGGGTTTCAGGGAACGGGTAGAAGGTAGCGACTTCAATTTTCGTCATAATGGACCAATCAGTCGCGTCTCCTCAAGGCTATGCATCGAAGTCGTGCGGCTTCCTGAAAATTTCAGCAAAGGCTTTTGTTGCTTCGATTTTCGTCTATTTTCCTTACATTACTTGCAGTATTTAGTGGTTTAATGTAGATCGTTCTGTTGTCAGTGAAATTCAGAGAATTTATAAATTTAACAAATATGATTTGATGAATGAATAAATATATAAGTATTATGTATAATATGATAAATATCTTATCTCACTGATAGCTACCTGCGCGCTGTTTCACCCGCTCTGCTCAGCTCCTATTGATTGCAGCGTGATATTCTATAGACTACAGCCTTCCTCGATAAATGCACTATCCAACACAAAAAGAATTATTCAAATCGGACCAGTGGTTTTGGAGATAAGCCCGTTCAAACAAACAAACTCTTAAACTTTATATAATACTAGCTACTTCCGCGTGGTTTCACCCGCTCTGCTCAGCTCCTTTTAATTGCAGCGTGATATTTTATACCCTATAGACTTTCTCGATAAATGCACTATCCAACACAAAAAGAATTACTCAAATCGGGCAAGTAGTTTTGGAGATAATCGCGTTCAAACAAACTCTTAAACTTTAAGTTTGTGTATATGTTTGTTAGTCAATCACATCGAAACAGCTAAAGAGATTAGAATGAAATTAGGAACAGGGTTAGAGTATAGTCTAGAATAACATATAAAGTACTTTTTACGCGGGTAAAGCCGCAAGCAGAAGCTAGTTGACCTATAATACTCATTATAATACATACAAACTAATACAATAGTTCTGTTTCCATGTAAATCGGTTGCCATAACCGAATCACGAACTGATTTTATGACCAATGCAGGCTCGTGGTCAACTATTGATGTCACTAATGCTAATAGAACAATAGAGGGATCAGCAGACCAGTAGCAAAGTAATGGAGAATCAACATAGTTGCTAGGGTATGAAAATTAATAATGTAATTAGTCCGTCAGTTAGATAATGCAATAATATTAGACACGTATTTTTTATTTTGTCGTATACAGTTACAATGATTAGATAAAATGGCGTTAAGTTTAGGAGTGGGTAGTTCGTTACAAAATGTAGCACGTTGTGACGTCACACGATTTTTCAAACTAATATAATATCGTCGAAAGTGTTTAATTTTGTGGGAAAAGAAAAAATACGTGTTTAATGATCGTCGAAGATCTTATTGGCAGTGGAACGGGCAGTGGATCGCTCGAATACAATATGTTTGATTTGGGCAGTGCTGGTGTATATGTTATGTTCGTAAACGGGAGCTGTATTATTGTATAGTCCTTATTGTTATAATACCATAAAAAAACTAAAAACCTCCAAAAATCCTTTACGAAAATTCGCTCACAGCTTTGTACTCTAGACGTGTCACCACATCAGAGAATGAACATCAATTTGCATGCTAATACATAATACATCTTTACCCAACCCTTAGCGGATTAATGCATACCTACTCATCTTGCTATAATTAGTGTTACAGATTACATTGATATCGTGTTCTTGGGTAATTGCCGTTAATTGAAACTATAGAGGTAGGTTCATTAGTAGTAGAACTTAATATTATAGGGGTGGCCGTATAAATTATCTTCCTACGATTGTTTTAGTCGTGTTGTGTTTTTTAATGGATACGCCGAGCAACTAAACGAGAGTAAACGAGCAGACAGATCTGTTGAAGTGGTTTTTATATGAATTGCTGGTTTAAATAAATGATGAGCACTTTTATAACATAATTTTTTTGCAAAGACAGGTTGACACACTATTAACTTCCTAGGCACACACCAGATGGCGTTACTTGTAACATTTGATGATGCTTAAGATTATAAAATTTACATTATTACAACAAGATCACCTGATGGTAAGTAATCGGCGAAATTGAGATTTCGTTAACATCAATACAACGCAAGCGTTGTTTCACGTCGGTTTTTTGTGAGGCCGTGGTATCACTCCAGTCGAGCCTGTCATTTTGTGCCGAAGCATGGCTCAACACAATTGTAATTGAAAGTTTAAGACTTATCTGAGTTTAACTCGTCGAGTACCGGTTTTATAGACACAATTAAAGAACAATAGGTCGCGGTCACCGGTGACCGCTTGGTGTTTGACAGATTAAATAGTAGTTCAAAATTCAACATGAATTCAATTCATCCTTAACACATTCTAAATCACTCGCAAATTATATCATAAATTACTGGCCACAAAGTACATTATCCACCTTGTTACCGTGGCGGTTAAGCAACAAAAATCCATAATAATTGTGCCCGAAAGCCATAATATTAAAATAATGCCCCGTGCCCACTGATGTATCATTTTAGTTCGATATTTATTCCAGGGTTGCAATTTTCATCGCGATAAAATATTAGTGGGATTATTACTGGTATTTTTTAGAGTTCCTTACACAAACGGTTAAAATACTCCCAATTAATAAGTATCTCATGGACCACGATATTTAAATAGTTGAAACCTTGACTTAGTACTTGATAAATATTTCAGGTACCTAATTCAATACATAGGCATTAAGTAAATGCTACGAAAATTAATTACGGAATGGGCCGACTCGACTGGACACGGCCTCACAGAAAACCGACGTGAAACTACACTTTGTTTCACTGTGTGTGTGATCCAATTTCTCTAATCTCCCCAATCCCCAAATCCCGAACAATCCTCAAATCCATAATCCCCAAAGAACCGGTAACGCAATTGTAACACCTCTGGTGTTCCAGGTGTCCATCATCTTAGTGTGGCGCCAATTGCTTACCATCGAACTCGCGCTTGTCCGATTTTTTCACTGTGATTATTGCATATTCGCTAGCGGTGATACGATGAATCATTGCCATTTATACTTTTATTATAGTCATCCAGAATCATATAAAATTGGCATTGTTAAATATGGTACCGTATTGAGTTGCGAACATTTTTTTCTGTTTTAAAATTATCTGCTATCTCATAGGGCTTTTTATTTTAAAATTCTCAGTAACGACACTGATACAGTTATAAGTGAATTGTATTATATATTTCGAAATTGTTTTATTGTTATGGTATCTGGAAGTCATTGGGGGAGGCCTATGTTCAGCAATGGATGTCCTATGGCTGGTATGATAATGATGATGATGAATCATTGCTCTTTATTCCAATGAAAATAATCATTACAAAATCCAAAAAATATGTGTAATCTATTAACATTGGATTCTTTAAAAGTGAACACGTGTTTTGTGTCAATATCCAAAAAATTAGAAAAAAATGAATAAGTTTCGCAACCTTACTAACGTTAATTCATACTTAACGATGCATCACCATAAAATATCTCAATATCACACCCAAAAACAAAACAAGAACCCTAATTACGCACCTTACCTTTTTAAAGTCGGTTAACACTGCGAAGTAATTGGCTACATCTTGTACCTTGTAATTCGGTAGTTCAGCAAATAATTTAGTATCGGCAGAGGGCGTTGTGATCGTAAATGGGGCCCTCGAGCTTCTGACACGGGGAAGCGGCCATTTTTCTCCCAATTAATGCCCGGACACTGTAATCTTGGGATATCTGTTAAAATTGATGTTTATCTTTACTTACTGCCGTTTTTGGTTTGTTTTGTCGCAAGTAAAAATCTGTACTATAATTATTTAAATGTGAAAGTATAATTCTTCGTTTGTTCGTTTTTCTTTTACATGACACATTTTTGTATCTTGTCTTTAACAATTGAAACAAATGCTTTGACTTTGAACTTTGAGACCTTTTTATGTTCTTCAATGGCAATATTGGTAACTTACAACATTGGTCAAAAGATGGTCAAAAATAGCATCTATAAAGTTTGGTATTTTGGTTTTTATGTCAAAATTCATCTAGTCATTGCTGCCGAAAGTCCTCCCTAAGTTTTTCTGCTTTCACTTTATCATCAACAGCCTATAAATGTCCTCTGTTGAGCAAAGCCTCTTCTCACACGGAGAAGATTTGATCATTGATCACCACTTTCAAGTTATCTTACTTAAAATAAAACTAATGTATGGGATGAACTGTATTTTTCTGAGTCTGTATTTCCTGAAGGGTATAAACCTGGGTATCTTCAAGGCCCGAGTGGATAGGTTGCTTATGGGACGTCGTGCTCCATCGTAGACCGCATTTTTCCTGATAATTACGTGTGTCATTTCTCTTCTGTGGAATGAGCATAGAAATCTAACCACTACAATCTCTTTGTTACAGCATCAATCGAGTCCCTACACGCGCCGACAGGGGGTGGAGTGGAACTACCTTGTGACGTCACACCAGCGCTGCCTGACGATCGGATGGGGCTGGTTATCTGGTACAAACAGGGCCACGAGTCACCTATATATACGTGAGTTTTATTATTTGTTTTAGTTTTTTTTATGGCATAAGCCGGTAAACGAGCAGACGGATCACCTGATGGTAAGCAATCGGCGTCGCCCATGTACACTTGGAACACCAGGGGCGTTACAAGGGCGTTACCGGCCTTTTGGGGATTAGGAGTTTGAGGATTGTCGGGGGTTCAGGAATTGGGGAGATTGGGGAATGGGAGCGTAATTGGGCCTCCGGTAACCTTACTCACACGACGAAACACAACGCAAGCGTCACGTCGGGTTTCTGTGAGGCCGTGGTATCACTCTAGTCGAGCCGGCCCATTCGTGCCGAAGCATGGCTCTCCCACACTGTACACACATAATAATATTTTTATAAAAACTATCGTGAGACATACTAAATTAACTAAAAATCGCAGTTTACTCACGCGAATGTCGTGAGAAAAGCTCTACTAGTTACGTAGTAGGCTGCGCAACATCGCCGCGGCCACGGACGCTGCTCATAAGGAAGAACCCCGCTGCGATTTTTAGTTAAGTTAATAATATAAAATTATAATAAAATAACGGCATTTATTAAAGAACGGTTTCGATACCCAAGTTGAAAGTATTATGGAGTGTTTTCGGTTTTCGAAAATCTCTGTAGGTACATTGAAACATATCTCACGATGATTATTATGAAAACAGTAGATCTTCCCTCCCAATCCCGCAACACGTCTCATATTAACAAGAAACTCTAACGTATGACAGCAGGATGAACACCAATTATCAGATACATTGCTCATAGTGATTGGTATCGTCTTAATATGCGGATAGATTTACTCAAGATATATAATATTAGTACCTGCGCATATAATGTTGTAGTTAAAGTTGTTACATCGGTCAATGTTTGGTCTTACTAATAAACAATAACGTCTTTTGCTCATCAAATGATTACTCCAATTAACTTTTGTGTAGTAGTATGTGTAGTAATTAATTGCTTGATAATTTTAATATTCAATCGGGTTTAGGATGGTTAGCTAGAATTTGATTGGAATGTACAAAAGTACCCTTAACTTACGAGCATGTATGAAAAAACTTATGACTGTTGATGAGCGAATTGGCGTTTCATAGTCTCTGCCTACTCCCATGGGAGACAGGCGTGAAGTAATGTATGTATCGATGCCATGTATACGACTATTTTCGCACAAATGGGCCAGAATCCAGGTCTGTTATCCAGTTACTCGTTCCCAGTAGTTCTTTCGATAAAATACGCTTTCAAAGAGTTCGAGTTACTACTTATACTAAAGAAGTAATAGCTAATCGTAATATTATTGAATTTTTTACTTTCAATTAAGTAGATATATTTTAATCCTAGATTTATTTTAATACAGACTCTGAGTTTTACACAGCGGGTACGCGTCGTCGGTCTTTAAAAAACTTTCATGTAAGTCGGAAATTCTGAGAAATGTCTGTTTTGGTTTATTGTTACCGTAACATAGTAATTATAACATACATATTCTATGTAAATTGTCAGTGTTTGTGTTTAGTATATTGATTGATAGGTATATCCATCAATTTGAAGCTTTGTTGTCAACGATAATTGTGAGATTGTGACGTCATATTTATAAAGAGAAAGCAGCATGGAGCATTTTTTCTTATGATCCACCGGGTGCTCATAAGGACGCTCGACGGGTTAACTCCCTTGTTAGCTTAATACTTTTATATTCGGTAGTCGGAACATGAATTTTCGCATATAATTTTTTTGGGTAGTTCAAAAAAATATCTATGTGACAAGGGTAAGCCTATCACCATTTTTTTAAATTAATCAATAACGTAACACAACACTAAGACTGCCTTGTTGGCCGAGTGGTCGCAAGTGCAACTGCTAGGCAAGGGGTCTCGGGTTCGATTCCCGGGTCGGGGAAAGTTATACTGCGTTTTAAAAAAATCTCAGTATTAGAACGGAGTCTGGAAATTTGCTCGGTATATGACAATAGTCTCACCCTCTATTACATGGGACTCATAACATAAAATAGTGAAAAGTAGGTGTTACTTCTGTGTGCACCTCTGCCTACCCCTTCGGAGATAAAAGGCGTGATGTTATGTAATACAACACAGAACCTAAAGCTAGCCGATACTTGTATACCCAATTACAATGTATACAAAACACACTACCGAAAACTAGATACACAACAACTACTTTACCGACTACTCCAAGTATCACAGATAAGTTACAAAGTTCCTAATCGACCAATAACTAACGAGGCAGTAAAACTGTACATTCCTACATCGTCACCGACTTATGATCAGTTCGATATAACTAATACGTTTAAGCTGCCATTAAGTTGAGAGGGTATCAAAAATACCGCGATCCCGCTTGAATGACAGTTCGATTCAAGATGGCGATCCAAGATGGCGGCGGGTAATATTGACAGTTGAAGCGTTTTGTTGATGTGACGTGATTGGTTTGTCCTGATTGTGTTTAGTATTAGATTACAAAGTTTTCTAGTTTGAACTGCAAGCGCTACTCTTGACCAGTGGATATCTAGTTCGTTTCCCAGATTTTTCATGGGATAACGTGGCAAATAAGTAATGTTTTTATTATTAATATTTTGGATATTGTTAGTAATGTCTGAAATAGACAATAGGTTCATTCCCATTAGACTCGTAACATAAGCGTTGAAAAGAGGGCTTATTAAGTTCTCATTGGCCGAGTGGTCGTAAGTCTCGGGTTCGATTCCCGGGTCGATAGAAAGTAATAATGGGTTTTAAAAAAATCGCAGTAGTAGCACAAAATCTGGAATTGTGCTCGATATATGGCAATAGGCTCCCCCTATTACATGGGACTCATAACATAAAATAGTGAAAAGTGGGTGTTACTTCTGTGTGCACCTCTGCCTACCCCTTCGGAGATAAAAGGTGTTATGTTATGTAATACAACACAGAACCTAAAACTAGCCAATACTTGTATACCCAATTACAATGTATACAAAACACACTACCGAAAACTAGATACACAACAACTACTTTACTGACTATTCCAAGTATCACAGATAAGTTACAAAGTCCTTAATCGACCAATAACTAACGAGGCAGTAAAACGGTACATTCCTACATCGTCACCGACTTATGATCAGTTCGATATAACTAATACGTTTAAGCTGCCATTAAGTTGAGAGGGTATCAAAAATACCGCGATCCCGCTTGAATGACAGTTCGATTCAAGATGGCGATCCAAGATGGCGGCGGGTAATATTGACAGTTGAAACGTTTTGTTGATGTGACGTGATTGGTTCATCGTGATTGTGTTTAGTATTAGATTACAAAGTTTTCTAGTTTGAACTGCAAGCGCTACTGTTGACTCTGGTTCGTTTCCCTGATTTTTCATGGGATAACGTGGCAAATAAGTAATGTTTTTATTATTAATATTTTGGATATTGTTAGTAAAGTCTGAAATAGACAATAGGTTCATTCCCTATTATAATAGACTCATTACATAAGCGTTGAAAAATAGGGGTTTATAAGTTATTTGTCTATGTATTCAAGAGTACAAATTTTAGTTAATTGTACTGCCTCGTTGGCCGAGTGGTCGTAAGTCTCGGGTTCGATTCCCGGGTCGGGGAAAGTTGTAATGGGTTTTAAAAAATCTCAGTAGTAGCACGAAATCTGGATATGTTCGATATAGGGCAATAGGCTCCCCCCTGTAACATGGGACACATAACATGAATAGTGAAAAGTAGGTGTTATATTGCGTAGTAATGTGCACCTCTGCCTACCTCAGCGGGGATAGAAGGCGTTTTGTTATGTGTTACGTGTACAATTACGAGTTAGATACAAGACATGTTGTTATGTCACCAAAACCAAGTATTGATTTAAGATTATCTAGACACAGTCGTTACGTAGGGTCTGGGATTAAATCTATGTCTGGAGGTTATGTCAAAGGGTTTAACTGAGGGCTAAAACCCCTCAATGGAAGGATGAGAGGTGGATGAAAGGAAGATGAAGGGGATAAACACTGTGTACTGTTCCTTGTATGTTAGCGAACTGTACTTTTGGGTAGGTGTTAGCCGCATAACCGCTTCATATTTATGACGTAAAGAATCGCCTTGTGCGATAAGACCGCCAATGGTACACTGTTTATTTTTTGTTTTCTATTTAATATGTGGTGTGCAATAAAGTATTAAGGTATTCGAAATAAATCGATAAATACGATTGTCTTGTTAGTCGACTGGCTGCAAGCACTGCTACCGAGCAAGAGGGTTTGATTTTGATTCCTGTGGTTAGATAAAAATAAATAGGATGCTTTCGTTTTTTTGCTTATTTCTCAGTAACAGCTCAGAGTCTGGGATTGTGCTTGGTATATGTGTTACATTGAGTATGTGTGCTGCTGCCTACCCTTTTGAATATAATGAGAATTTACGTGATGTGGCATCTACCTAAACCGTTATTTCTAATACGCATTAAACCTAGACTGCCTCATTGGCCGAGTGGTCGCAAGAGCAACTACCGGGCAAGGGATCACGCGTTTGATTAACAGGTCGGGCAAAGTATTACTGGGTTTTACAAAAAATCTCAGTAGTAACACGAAGTCTGGAATTGTGCCCGGTATATAGTAACAGGCTCACCCCCTATTACATGGGACTCATCACATAAATAGTGAAAATCTGGTGTTACATTGCACAGTAGCATTAAGTGCCGTAATGTACACCTCTGTGTATGTCTTCGGGGATAAAAGGCGTGATGTTATGTTATGTCATTAAACCTAGTTTTAAAAATACAACAAAACTCAAATATCCTAAAGTTAAATCGTATCGTACTTCCTGAAAACCCTGATAGAAGTTTTAGTACTACCATAGTCATAAAAAGGTATTGAAAATTCCGTGAATACGATCCCAAGTTGCGACATTAAAACAAAGAAAGAGCCATTTTTGTTTGTTCATTTGTTTGTAGAACACATTATCCGAAACTTGCCGTTTAATGTACGCTTTGTCTATTCAATGTGGTTAGTTTTGGGACGGATTTAAACAAAAAAAATGTTAAA